CCAGCTTAGTATGGTCAGCACGCTTGCCGAGGGTGCACTCAAACTAATTCTGTGATGCTGTGGAGTGCGAAGACGCATTCCTCTGTATGGCTCTTTGCTGGGCATTTTTTGATTAGCAGTGCTGTGCATCAGTAAATTTAAAAGCTGAGAGTTAGGGTGTTGTGAAAATGCTCCTTGCACCAAGTACATCTTAGTGTTAAAAGAAAGAGGTATCAAAATCTTTGTCCCTTGTGGGGAAAAAGACATGACAGACGACATTTGGACCAGTACAGATTAGGGGTTGACCTGCTGGCAAGCAGCTCCATGGAGAAAGACCTTGCAGTCCTGATGGACAAGTTAACCATGAGCCAACAGTCTGCTCTTGTAGCCAAGAAGGCAAATGGCTTCCTGGAGTGCATGAAGAAGACTGTGACCAACAGGTCGAGGGAGATTCTTCTTTTGCTTTACTCTGCCCTGTTGAGTACTGTGTTCAAACCTGTGCTTCCCACTTCAAGAGAGGCAAGGAACTACTGGAGAGAGTCCAACGCAGGGCTACAAAGATGATTAGGGAATGGTAGTATCTCTCTTAGGAGGAAAGGCTGAGAGACCTGGGGCTGTTAAGCCTGGAGAGGAGAAGACTGAGAGGGGATCTTGTCAATGCTTATAAATATCTAAAGGGACAGTGTTAAGAGCATGGGGCCAGGCTCTTTTCAGTGGTGCCCTGTGGTAGGACAAGGGGCAGGAGACTTATGGAAGGGTGTAAGGATCAATGCGACAAAGAGGTCCAAAGGAAGTTCCACCTGAACATAAGGAAAAACTTATTTACTGTGAGGGTGATGGAGCACTAGAACAGCTGCCCAGAGAAGTTGTGGAGTCTCCTTCTCTGGCGACTTTCAAAACCTGCCTGGACATGTTCCTGTGCAAGCTGTTCTAGACAAACCTGCTTTGGCAGGGGGTTGGACTAGATGATCCCCAGAAGTCCCTTCCAGTGCCTACCAGTCAGTCGTTCTGTGACTTAGGACAAAAACTCTGGAGGTTCTATGAGAATTTTTGCCCATGGTCAGTTAGGTTCCTTTGGAATTTCTCTCTGGTATCTAAAAGGCAAAACTGCTAAGCTATTTCATTTGGATGGGAAAAAAGATCTAGATTCTCTTCCTGATCTCTTGTATGTACGAGATTAACTCAGTTCTTGAGACAGAGCAGAAGAAAGCACATTGAAACTGAGGTGAGACAGAATGACAGGAGAAAAAGGGCACTAAAAAACTCCTTGCAAACAGTGTAGTGCAGGAAATGATGCAAAAGCAGTGTACTGAAACCCTGTTCATGATGCTGTCCTATTTTCAGATATGGCTTCACAAAAGAAGTTTCAAAGAAGTACCAGGTAAGTGTCCTCCTACTTCCCCTGTATTTTCTTTGTAGTCTTGCATGTGTAAAATGAAACCTGTGTAAACAAGAAGACTTGCAAACAGTTTATTTTAGTAGTACAGAATTACTTTAGTAATGAAGTTGAAATTATCTTGGATTATCAGTGGAATAACTGACAAAGCAATTTTAAGTGTTAGCCTTTTATGGTCAGAGATCTATGGGATGACATAAGTAACATCCATAAGGCCACTCAAGAATACAAAAAGAGGTGAATATGAAAGAAAAAATGCTACAGAGACAATCAGATGGCCCCAAAGTAAATGTCAGAACATGTGTGTCAGAGATTGCAGTTTGGAGTGTCACCTGAATGGAACTGTTCCTACAGACTATGGCAGACACTGCAACAAATCTTGAATTTAGAAGCAACAGCATCTGCCAGAAATAGGATCTAATATCAGAGTATGTTTTACAGGACCATGGGAAACAGATCTTGTGTCTTCTGCGAGACGTCTTTAGCTGGCTTCCCCTCGCCACTATAATTGACAGCAAAGTTCTTATTCTACATGGTGGCATTTCAGACACCACAGATTTGGATTTCCTGAATGCACTTGAGAGAAATAAGGTAAGAGATCATATTCATGTGGGGCTAATTTTGTTTTCTTCTGAAAAATTAGCAGTACAAACGCAAAGATCAAATTGTTTGCATTAGAAATTGAAATGGCTGGTGTATAAGGTATGTAAGGAATAAAGAGTCTTTTTTTCTTCAGAATCAGCATTTAGGAAGCATTTCAGTAGGTGTTGGGAGCTGATTGTTTGGCTGCTGTAAAATAACACGGGTCTGTTGACTTTTAAGTAGCTAGAAGCATTTTAGATACCTCCTTCCTGTAGCGATGTCACATTAGCCAGAAAGTATGAAAAGTGCTTAATTCTCAGGCATTTCTCAACAGTTTAGAAGTCAATCTATCTTCATCTTTCTAGCACTGCCTGTCCTGCGTCTGTGCTTCTGCCATGTGTTGTGTGGGGGAAGTTCTCCACCTGTGAGGCACTCCCTTGGCAGCAGCTGAGAGTTGCACATGTGGGAGAGCCTTGACAGCAGGATCAGACTTCAGGACCTGGCACAAGAAAACAGGAACTACTGCTTTGCAAGGATTTAGAAGAAAAATATGATTGCTTGTTTGTTTGTTTGTTTGTTTTCTGACATGGTGAGCAAACATAGCTCTTTAAAGTCAGTGGAAAATTATGTGGGATTGGGTCTTTATATGGACAACTAAATTGAGATGTCTGCTTGTGATCAGGCTGCTTAGGCTCATTATAATCAATGGAGATCCATGAGATTCTGGTAGGGATTCAGGTCTTTCCACTGCTCGGGCAGTGGTCTCTGGCACTGTTCATGGAAGCACCCTGTAGCCTAAGGATGTCCCCGCTGGCCTCTGCCTGTCTCTGGGGAAAAGGCTTTTTCACAGGTCTTCTCCACCATTCTCCTTTAGGTCTGGTTCATATCTGCCCACCTCACACAAATTCACAGACATGGTAGACTGTCCCAGATGGCACAAGTTACCTGTGTTTAAGCAACCTTGTGTACTTTGTCATCACTGGCTGTGGAATCTAGAGCTATTTCTTTTATCATGTTTTTTAATGCAGAAAAAAACCCAATGCTTTACAGGACAGTCAGGTGTATCTGTTTCTTGAAGAAGGGGAAAAAAGTCAATGAGTACTTGTGGTCATTGAAGGCTAGGCTCCATTGGCTGGACCACTGTACGCTAAAATTGGGTGCCTAACTACAGCTGTAGGTGCCTGAACTGTGAGCTGAGTTCTGCCCACACTTTGAGCAGGGCTGGGCTCAGTGTGTTACTGATGCACTACCTGTGAAATGCAGAATTAACAGGTCAGGGTTGCTGGCACAGGAGAGCCTTGCTAATGAGACATATGTGGGCCACAACTCAGGGCAACAGCACACAAGGCCAACTGATGTATTTTAATTGGTACAGCTGGCAACAGCCAGGTCTCAAATACCCAGTCAGTGCACTAGGGAATAACCCAGTGGTTTGCAGTTGGTTTTGCATCAGTCCTTTCCTTTGTTAAAGAGTAGCATTCTGGGGGGAGGGAATGGGAAGAGGGTGGAGGTGGTGGCAGGGCAGGGGTGGTGTCTGTGAGTTTTGTCTTTGGGCATTTTTGTTCCAGAAATGAGCTAGTATAAGAAAATTCCAAATGAGAACATAGTCCTTGGAGAAGAGTCTCTATTAATGGGCAGTCATGGAGCCACAGCACACAGCTCCGAAACAACTAAAAGCCCATGCATATTGGAGGAGGCTGACTGAACAATAAGAGAGACAGATGTAATACTTAATCAGTTTCACTGTTGCCCTCCTGGTAATTCCATTTATTTTTAACCAAATTAACCTAGCAGCCTGCTACTGTATCAGAACAGTAGTGAACGCAGTTTCATCTTCAGTACATGTATATTTTCGGTTTCCAGTGAAGCTGGACACTTAAGTGTCATCCCTGAGCCCAGACTATACTTGCTGTAAAGTGAGACCTTATGAGTGACTGTGGTTTGGAATGAGTCTGTGTGTCTAGGTAAGAATGTAAGGGCAGTGTGAAGATACTGATTGCTGATAAAGCAAAATTTCTGCAAGTGCGGAATGCCTGCAGCTTCCACCAAACCTGTGAGTTCAGGACATTATAAGAGTTCAACACTGAGTCCAGAAAACAGGAACTGATGTGCCTTTCAGCTGACATCTCTGTATCTTCTTTATGTTTTCGTAACTCTTTCAATTTACTTTTTTTTTTTAAAGTTGAAATCTTTGATGCGGCCACCAAAGTCAGTGAGAGGCAGACAGGACCAAGTGAAGGAGAAAATTCCCACAACCAGACCCAGTAAGCACACTGCCAACCAGAATGTTTCTGGGAAAACACAGCACATCTCCTCTTCCACCTCCACTGAGCCTTCAGGCTCAAATTTGCCCCCAGACCCCACCCTGAAGGAATGGAAACAAGTAAGTGAAACCAAAGACAGACTGATACCAAACCCTCCTGCACAAAGCCTACAGGTGCTCTCTTCAGGCAGTGCGTTTGAGTCTGAGAGTGCTTTGTCTTAATAAGAAACACATCATTCTTGGCAGTATACTAGCCAGCTGCTAGTTATTTGGATACTTTTTGCAGACATGGTAATAAAGGCTTGTGATTTTATAACTTGCAAGTACAATTTAGCCAGGTTTTTCTTTTCTTAGCCCTTAGGAGGAAGGAACAGTATGCTCAGTATGCAATGTGTTTGCTTGCCCTCATGTGGTTGGATCTATTGGTGCATACGTGGTTGTCAGTTTAACTTTGCAGTTGGTGATAGCAAGCACCTGTTTTTGGCTCTGGTTTCGGCAGCTGAAACCAAAACCCCCCAACTCCTGAGACCTACAGGCTGGTTACTCAAGACTGGGAAGGTTTTGTCCTCTTGCTGTTCGTTTCCTCTTGAATATTAGAGGCAGTATGGAGCTCTTGCATTACTGTAATTTAATTAACAGTTTGAAAAGCTTAATTTGCACAGCAATTTAGAAGCACAAAATTGCATTTTTTGCAAGTTTATTTTTCTGAGCTTCTTTTTGGACAACAGCTTTAAAGGGGCAGAGTTTTCTTCCTGAGAAGCAATGTGCCTCTGAAAATGTGACTTCCCAAGATAACCATCTGACCTATAAACTAACAGAATGGGCACAAGTGACCCCCCCCAAAATCTGACACTACCCCAGCTAACCAAGTGTCCACTGAGTCACGCTCACCAATGTGGAGTGAAACGAGTTAGTGTAAACCTTGTCCAGTGAGGTTTAAAAACAGCATTTTGCCTAATGCTTGCTATGCACTGGAATTATTCAGTTAGGTGACTATAAACTATGATAATTTGTCCTCATGTTTGAATCCTGCTAAAAAAATCTGTAAAAATCTTGTTTTGAAACATGAGATAACTGAAGATAATAAAGCCAAAGGCAACTCTTGTAATGTTTGGAGCAGACACTCCCAAGCTTAGTTCAGGTAAAACCACTGACCCATGTGCTTGCCAAGTCTGTGCTGGGAAACAGAAAATGCCTCTCACACCTGCAAGTGAAGAAGGCAGCTTTTGCTCTCTTGGAAATAGCTCAGGTCCTATTCCTGATCCACCTACCTTAGTCTGGACACCTCTGCTGTAAAAGGAGGTACACTTCTGAACTGATATTTCACCTGAAAAAAAAGTTAATCCAGGATCTCAACAATGTTTCTTTAGAGAAGCAGAACAACATTTTCAGCCCAAAAGAATGCCCTGCTGACAAGAAGAAAACACAAGGCCTACTTGTTAGCTGAGGTGTGTTTTCTGCCTGTACTGTGGGGCTTTTGCTATGGTCAGTACTTTAGACAGCCATAGCCTGTCAGTCCTCACTTGCTTGAGTTTGCTATTTACAGATCCTTGACATTCTCTGGAGTGATCCAAGAAGCCAAAATGGCTGTACACCAAACAAGTGTCGAGGAGGAGGTTGCTACTTTGGTCCTGATGTCACTGCCAAGCTGTTTGAAAGGTATAATCTGAAGATGCTCATCAGGTCTCATGAATTTAAGGCAGAAGGTTATGAGATCAGTCACAATGGGAAGGTAAGATGCTTCCATGTAAATTAGAATCTTCCTGTGAATTTCACAGGCATATCTACAATAGGTGTGTCTGCAAAGTTAGTTAAAAAAAAAAAAAAAGTGATTTCGTTAAAATGGATTTGGAGGAATTGTGTGCTAGGTAGATGTTAGAAAAAAAATTATGGAGTTCTGACAAAATTCTTTACAGCTTCAAAGAGTAGGGACTGGCTTATTACTTGTGTGAAAGCAAGTGAACATCAACAAAACCCCTGAGAAGAGTTATATGTAAATACAGTGCAAGAGCTGGCCTAGGGCTCTAGAAGTCTAGTGATGTAATAACTTCTCTGCTGGCCCTGCTTTCTGACACACTGCTATCGGGAGG